AGCTCGGTGTGCATGTCTGCCAGCTGCTCGATCTGCTTCTGATGGTGCATCATCAACTCCTCCACGGATGCATAGCCCTCGAAATCATCGCCAGCACCGAAATCTATTTCAAAGCACCAAGCCAAAACCTCTTGAGTGACAACATTGACCTGTCCAGCGAGATACGAGCGTTTAGCTCGTTCGTCGTACCCGGTTCCTCCGTGGCCAACAACTGCTCTTTGAGCTGAAGAACGTCAGAGGTCAAGGCAAGCAACAGGGTGTGAGCACCACCCGTTGCCAGATCGGAGAAATGGACCACGAGAAGAGGGCAAGAGAGACGCTTTTGTCCACCTGGTGATTCTCAAGGGCAAGCGCCCGAAGCTTTTCTTTGAGAAGATTGTTTTCCTTTGACAGTGACTGTACGTTGCGTACGTTTTCTTCGGTGCTCTCCTGCAGAAGCGGTCATTGATGGTCGTGTCAAAATTCACGTGCACGGGCGGAAGCCCTGGCGTGCGCTTCAAATCCTTACCCGAAACGATTGCACAGCCTCCTGGTGGGCCGCTGTCGTTGTCTGGAGCGTCGCTTGGAGTTTGCGCTTGGAGTCTGAGATGGTGGCTAGCTCTGATTGCAAACGCGAGCACTCCGCCTTGACGTCCTAGCGTACAAGATGATGGACTTTTGTGAGCCAACGACGACATTCTCGATGCCAATCGCGTTGCAGCGTGTTTCGGTGACCAGACAAACTTCATAGAGCCGCTGCACGCTGGCCAGGTCAGCATCGACGTCTTCACCAGCAGGTGCAGCGCTTGACAGCACTGCTTCTGTCTGTTCCACCTGCTCATCCGGTGACCGCACGCCATCCGTGTCGCTGGATGGCCCAACACCTGCAGCCGGCACGTCGGTCGGATCTTCGGCGGCCTCAGGCACAGGCTGTCCGCCTCCTTGTACGCTGGAGGTCTCGGATGCAGGCTCCGTCGCCTCCAACACGGGGGTGCTAATTTCACTGAGATTCGGAGCTGAAGGGAAGCTTGAACGTGTGGCGCTCAAGGTACGCTGCCGCGATGCGAGCCAGAGTGAGCTTTTTGGCTGCGATCATGCAATGTGCCCGCAAGTGGTAATAAGCGCAATGTAATATTTTGGCCAAGTTCTCACCTCTACGTGAGCGCTGAGTTCCTCGGCCGTCATGTTAGCAAAATCAACCTCCTCATCGCTGTCTCGCTGGCCTTCCTCGATGCTGCCCATAAAATCGGCGCTCTCTGCGGGACTGTATCGAGGAAACGAAGGAAAATCAGTCTACATTCAATGGCAAACACGAGATGGAAACAAGTTGGCGCAAGCGTCATACCGAGCCACAGTGCTACTAAAGTCATTCATGCTTGGGGCAGCTGCGGCAATGGATGACTGTGTGGCACGCCAGCAGTGAATGGCTGACGTGATGCATGCAGATCCATATGAAGGCGTGCAAGAGCAGTCAACTCACAAAGGTTGAAGGAGCATCTGATGCGGGCGCCGTATCCGAGCCATCAGCGTTCTCTTCTGAGATGGAGGGGCGCTTTTTGACTTTTTTCTTCTTGCTACGCTTTTTGGTTTTAACTACAGACCGGTAATGATGGTGCAAATGAAGAATAAGGAAGAACAAGAGGGTGTACAAAAGGCAGGAAGCAAGTCGCGCGTCTCGGTGGCAAGTCAAGAGTAACGCACGAATTGTCATGTCATGATTCACGACAGTCACCGAGTGTTCGCGGACAAAATCATCTTCGCCGTTGTTGCCTTCATCTAAACCATCGGCATCGGGGATCCCAGTGCTAGCAGGGACAGGGCTGATGGTCGTTGCAAGTCCATTGGAGGCCGCGGCAGCGCCCGATCCCACGGAAGCACTGCGAGTTACGTAACGGGGTGCATTGATTTCACTGGTATCCACCTCAAGAGCAAAGTGCGTAGATTCCAGTCCTACGCGGAAAACATGTCGATCGTGGGGGGTGGGGGCGTAAGGGGAATGCGTGCAAGAGTTTGAGCCGTTGGGTGTGAAGCGGAATGGAAAAGGGTGCTTCAATGCACCTTGGAAGAGCATGGCAAAGACATGGGCCCGCTCATGATCCAGCAAGAGCGCATAGTCATCGTAGTATTGCCTGCGACAGCGCAAAGGTTGGAAGGAAAGGGCATCAGTTCCACCAGTGCTGTGGGATGCTGGCTGGGGAAGCCATTGCGGAGACGCTAAGGAAAACTGCGCACGAACCGAACAATGCTTTGATGTTTTTCTATCCGCTCGAAAAAGGACTGGAGCAGTTGTTCATTGAGGGCTGTGCGCAGCCAGGCGCGACCTAGTCATGGTGTGGGGGTAGGAGGAGCAGACGTTATGGCGCACACACGACTTGCGCGCGGAAGATGCCTTGGGCATCAGAGTGAAGCTTCATAGCGATTACCTCGACCACTGTCGGTAGTGATATTTTTGAGACAAGTGTAGTGCACGACATCAGCCGACTCGAGAAGCTCGCGAACCATTGGCCAAAAGGCTATTCGTGAGGTTGACAAGGAGGGAAAGCAGGAAGGGTCAGAGCCGGAGCCGATCAAAGTGGATGAAATCATCCATGCGCGCACCCAACTGGGCATCCCTCTTGGGTGCGCGCATGGATGAGGCAAATGACGGGTCTTGGGGTACGCACAAACTTCCGCCTGACGGCGGCGCGCGCTTTTGAGGCCGTGGACAAAGGCGGATTCCAACTGGGCAATTAGCGTGGCCACGCTGTACCAATGCAAAGTTGAGATGAGGGACTAGCGTGTAAGCAAGAGGGTTTGAAGAAAGCACACGCACCGGGCGTCCGCACTGGTGGCGAGGCCGACTTGGCTGGTGAAATGCAGCTGCACCTGCACGGAGGGATAGGGGTATGACCGTCAAGGTAACCCACAGCGTGATTTCGAGCCCGAGGAGAGGTACAAGGCGGACTATAGGGGCGATGAGTTGAGCGAAGAGCGTACGGCTTTGATGGCGTCCTTGACACGTCGAACAATGGCCTCGCGCTCATCCTCTGTCTCGGCCACAGATGGGGCGGGGACTACAGCCAAAGCGGGAGATTGGGAGGCTGAGATCGAAACGACACAAGCATATTGAAACAAGGTTGTCGAAGAGGCCGCACCCGTGTCATTGGCTGCTGCACCGCTAAAGCTGGCGAAAGAAGCCTGCGGTGGGGGTTTGCATGGGATGGTGTGAGGCAACATGGTCAGCAAGAGCGAGGGCTACCGCTGTTGTTGTTGTAGTGGTGGTTGTTGTTGATGTTGATTTTCAAGGAGCAGCCGGGCACGCGCCCAACCTTGATCACGTCCATGGCCAAGCGATCCACGATTGCCTGAGCCAGCCAATCCTATTCAGCTCAATCTGTTGGGGCGGGGCAAGAGTGAGCGAGGATATACGATCACGCGTGAGTGATCAAAACAAAGCCCGGAGCACGAGGTGCTGCGCGCCGATCCACGATCGTCAGCGTGTAGGAGCCCAAGCCAAGGCTTTGAACGCAGTCCCACCCCACTTTGATACAGTCACGGCTTGAAGACCCAATGCAACCGGGGGGTACCTGGCGTGGGAACTGTGCATACGCGGGGGGACCGTCACGGCCAACGCACCTCCTGCCCGATCAAGTGTGTAGTGGAGCCGAAAAAAAAAACCACTCGGTCCCTAAATGGTGCATCCCCGTGTGATTAGCATCAAGCGGCGTGGCGCGACACACACCCGTCCCACATCCCAGCGCGTCACTACCCGCGATCAATGCCCCTCGCCCCGTCAACACAAGCATAGTGAACTCGGATGCGCGTGATCCGTCGCGCTGCCATTTGCGCCATTGCGCGCTCTCTCTCTCTCTCTCTCTCTCTCTCTCTCTCTCTCTCTCTCTCTCTCTCTGACCTCTTTAAAATAAAATATCCTGTTTTAGTAAACTTGTGGCAGATGCTTAAAAAGGCTTAAAAGTTTAATTTCGAGAGGGACAAGGGGTGGTGGTTCTTTCTCTCTCTCTCTCTCTAAATCTCTCTCTCTCTCTCTCTTCTCTCTCTCTCTCTCTCTCTCTCTCTCTCTCTCTCTCTCTCTCTCTCTCTCTCTCTCTCTCTCTCTCTCTCTCTCTCTCTCTCTCTCTCTCTCTCTCTGACTTGCATTTCACACTGCTCCCGACTGCAGTGCTGTCGTGTGTGTGTGTGTGTGTGTGTGTGTGTGTGTGTGCTCCACTGTCGTCTCCGTTCTGTCGGCTGTCTCGGCTGGCTGTCTGGTCAGTGGGTAGTGGTGCTGGTGTGAGCTTGGCCTTGGTTGTAAGGGGGTTGGATTCTGGTTTCGGGGATCGAGCATTTGTCAGTGGCAAGAGCAAGAGGTGCTTTTGAGAGCGCACACACCGGTTGGTATAATCTGGCTCGCATCGACAGTACGGCACCAGTCTCGGGCTCTGCACCTGGCCACGCGCTTTTGCCTCGCTGCCGCCTCACTGGGCTTGGATTTTGGCGGGCTTTGCTCCCGGGCTTTTTAGGGCACGATGTCCACCAAAACGGTCGGCACCATTATCGATCTGGACCGGAGCCATTTCATTCCCGTTTCCCTTGACACCATCAAGCGAGCGCTGTTGCGCCACCTCGAGAATGATCTTCTCACAGACGGTGACAGTATCGATGGCGGTCGTGATGCCCGCCATGCCAACCGTCAAACCAGCCGAGACCCCCAGGTCCTGGAACTCGTGGCCAAGGAAAAGATGCGCTTCATCGACTTTTGCCGCCGGTCAGTCCCCGAATACACCCGCCTCTCCCGCCCCGCTTGCCATCATTCCTTCCCCAATTCTCCACTCTCGTCGGCAAAAAAGGCTCAACAAATTGACATGTGCTTGCACCAACACACAGTCTAGAAGGTCTCTATCGATGCCGCCTTGCTGGCCAAATGCAACGCCTGACCGACAGTTTCCAGCTCCTCGTCCCGGGCGCCCCCGACTCCAGCCTTGAGCTGGATCAACCCAACATCGAGCATGAAGAAGACATGCTGCTCAAAAAGTCAGCAAGCCCCCCTCTCGCTCCTCCTCCGCCCCCTTTCACATGCATGCATACATTGACCTCGACTTGTCCTCTGGCTGGTGTGTGTTTATTTTTTATTTATTTTTTTTTCCCCCTTAGCCTCCATGAAGCCATGCGCTCCTCCAACTTTCGCATGCTGTCCCAACGTGACCTGGATGATGCCTTGGGCTCTGGTGCGTCTCCCTCCAATCTTGCCGCTTGGTTAACCCGCAATGAGTTATTCACGCAGATTTGGCCCCATCCTGAACAGAGCACACTCTCGGCCTTGAAATGGAAATTGATCCACACCAACTCGACAGTGGCTTTCTCGACCGCTTCATCAATCAAATGGTGAGCCACATCGAGTGGCCACATTGGGTCGCCCATGCTCATGCCACGGCCCCTGGCTCCTTGGCTCTACAACGCCTGACTCAACCGGCCTCTACATCGGCCCACCACTCACTGCACGTGTGACTCACACCTCATTAGGATCGCCACGAAGCCGAGACAATGGCCGTCATCAACCGCAACGTCCTCATCTATCACCGCGGTGTTGGTGTGGATATTGCCCGTGGCTACTTTTGGATGGAAAAGGTCTGGCCCTTTGCACCCCCTCATGTCCTGAGACAGCGGCTGACAGTCCCGACCCCAAACTCATCGCATCATCCCACTGCACGCCATCACAGCTGGATTTTCTTCTCAGCAACGCGTTCAAGTTCCTCGCCAGCTTGATCGGCTTTGTCTTCAGCCTTTTTTTCTTTTGGAAGTGGTCCTCCACGTTTCGAACCGTGTTTAGGTACACTACCCGCCCAGCCCTGGCCGCGCTTCCCGCCTGCCCAGTTCCAAAGCGACCTTTCTCACGCTAACCCCTCGCTGACCGTGCAATTTCTCCTGAATGTATCCACCTCGGCTGGCTCTGTTTGCCGTCTCAGGAGTACCAGTACTGCCAGTGGGAAGGTTGATCTGACTGATCCTGACAGTGATGATACCAGCAATCAAAGGGTTCGCCGGTACGTTCCTGCGCTTCGTCCCAAGACACGGCACCCTCGTGCGCCCTGAAGGTTCCTTGCTCCAGCTGACCCACAACACTATGTTCTCCGTCGTTTTTCATATCGAGTAGCTGCAGCCTCAAGGATTACATGCAAGCGTCCTTCTTGACTTTCTTCTTTGCCAAGTGCGCACTCTGATCTCTAGCCACCTGCTGTGTTATCTGTATGGCTGCCCCTCTCACGCGACCGATACACGCCTTAGGCTGGAGCTGCGTGAACCCACGTTTGAGGATGTGATTTTGGTGTATCGCACCCAGGACGCGTTGTCCAAAACGGTGCGCTCTTGTAAACTCTTTTCCAACATCTCCTAAAAAGTTGGAACACGTCTCCTCAGGGACAGGCATAATGCTCAACACCCGATACATCCCTGCAGAAACCGGGCGTCCCTCCTCCCATTACCGTGCGGTCCTTCCGCAAGATCCCTCGTGCCGACTTTGAGGTATGCCCATGGCTTCAAAAGGCTGGCAGTATTTTTTTGCAATGACCAAAGCGTTGTGGCAATTTGCCTAACCCCTATCCTTCTCCTCGTCTTTGCCTTTCCTCTCAACAATGCTTGTTCTGTCTGCCCTATTTACTTCGTTGCTGCGCTCGACCAGATTGTACTGCCGGCCGTACGGCCAAAGCGTCGTAGTACCGACGTCTTCAAGATTCTCATGGCCCTGGGCATAGCCATCTTTACCATCGTTCTCAAGGTGGGTAGACAACGGCGCCTTGCTACAGATCCGGCGCTGGCCTTTGCGCCACCCATTGCCTTGTTGTCACTCATCCTTTTCTCAACCCCACACCGCAGTTTGTTCAAATTGTGGAGGATGAGCTGGATGAGAATCATACAAAGTGGGAAGACGAGCCCTTTGAGCAAAAGCTGCGCGACGTCCTGCCGGTCCTGGCAGCCGTGGGCACCTACGGCGCCAAGCTAATGGTACAATATCAGTATGTCAATAATGCGCACAAAGTCACGCAACGCTGATGTACAGGCGCTGACGGCCGCGATGTCTCTATCGCATCACCTCCGTGCCACAGAGCTCAAACCAAGAATTACCTCAACGTTATGACCAAGTACCTGTATGAAAAGGCCGGTGACACCAACGACGGCGTGCGCGCCAGCTTGCTCGATGCTGTGCTCAACCAGGAACTCAAGGAATCTATCGTTGCCTATTATTTCCTGTGGCGTCACCGCGATGCTCTGGTACGCCGCACTGGCTTGCACGAGGCTGGCACAGAGTTGCTCTCATCTGTCTTGGTACTGTTTTTAGCATGTGGAGGAGCTGGACCGAGTCGCGGAAGCTTTCCTTAAGGAGCTCGATGCCAACACTGACTTTGAGGTTTGACAGCGCCCCCAAAGCGACCGCCACCCTCGCAGCGTGTATTTGCTCAATGGGGTCGTGATCGCTCGCGATGCTTGTTCCCAGGTACTGGATGCGATTGACAAATTGGAGTTTGACAAGTTGATTGACAGCTCGCCGACTGATAAGCTCAAGTTTCGAGCCAAAACGATAAGTACGTTGTATTGGGTAACATGACCCCGCATAAACCTCGCGTTGTCGTGCGCCAATGCCTTGCTGATGCTTTGTATTTTTGTATGGCTGGCCTCTCTTCTCCTTTCGTTCCTTTTTTTTTTTTTTAGGTCGCGCAATTACCACCATTGAGAACAAGTGGCGTGACTTTTTCGAAGATCCCGACACTGAATGTCCTTATTGTCCTTATATGGACCACGAGCTGAATGGCGGCAAGGAAAGGGCTGCCTGATTGTTGCAATGGTCCATGAGCGTTTACTATCTTCAATCTGACCCACATCTCGAGATGGGCGGCAGCTCTGATGCAAAATTTGCCTTTAATTGATTCCCTGCTGAATAATAAGCTCCATCTTTTCTTGAACTTGATCAAGCGGATCCAGCAACACGAACGCACAGCGTCTGAGCAGATGGGTAGATCGGGCGAGGGCGCAAGCCCTTTGGACTCAGTGGGGACTACTAGGGCTTTTTGAGGCCCTGGCGGGTGAATCGGCTCACACACCCTCTAGAGCCTGCAGATTACGCCGTGCCGTTGCATGTGTGGGGTCGGCATAAAGGGCTTGCCGAAAAGCCTCGCGAGCTGCCACGACATCTTGGCCTTGCTGATACGCGAGCACCCCCAAGTTCACATAGGCTTTGGCACGGTACAAGTTTTGGTCCTCGGGCAAGTCTGCCGACGCATCCGGCGGCGGAGTGGCCACAGCCTGGCGAAAGACCTGATAAGGATACGACAATGTTGTGAGACGTGCGACCACCCGTGCGCATCGCAAGACATTGGACGCAAGAGGCAAATGCGCGCGTGAGTCACATGAAACCCGGGGAAACCTGAAATCAAACCTGCTCTGCTTCTGCGCCTCGACCTGCGTCCATCAAAAGCACGCCTGCCTCAAACGGCCATCGAGCTATCGTGGCTTTGCGAGATGCCAGATCCAGCAAGGCTGCAGCAAGGAGTGTTCCCACAACAGCGCGTGACAATATGGTGATGCACACGTCAGGGCCTCGCACAAGCTATCAGGTCACACCTGTAACAGCCTTATCCAGCTGCCCGAGTCGATTGAGAGTGAGGGCATAGTTGAGCACATATGTCTCGTTGTGTTTGATTTGCACCGCCTGCTCAAAGGCGGTTAGGGCTTGAGAAAGCTGCTCCGACTGCGTGGCAAGCACGCCCAATGTATTGGCAGCGTCGGCTCGTAACTCGAGATTCTACGAAAACGCTTGTGAGCTGGTCGTCATTGATCAAGTGCAACGACGAGGAATGACTCTGTTTATCAATTACAATTTGACACACCGCATTCTCGTCCTTCATGACGCGGGACAGTAGGGGCATGGCCAATCCGAGCTCCTGGCGCTGTGCGTAGGCCGCCGCCTGCTCGTAGAGATCTAGAGCTGACTCCGTGGGCTGTACACTCAACAAGGTGGAGACGCTGGTCAGGCTGTTACTCAGACGCACGCCTTCATTGTAGCACAACGTACCTGCACCGGCAGCGTAGCAGACCGCGGGTTTTTGATCGGGGCTAGCGAGTCGTTATCGTGCCGCTGAGCGTCTGGACCCGCTATGGGTGTCGATTTCACAGTATGCGTCTGCGTTTAGGCCGTCAACCAGAGTGCGTGAGTATTCCCGTCTCACCACTTGAAATACCCATCATCTACCTTGAACGTGCAAAAGCCAGGAAAAAAAAACGCACAGGCTGAGCTTGTTGTGCTGAGGCGCGCTGGGCTGCTTGAAGAAAGCGCTCAGCGTGTGGTGGGCTAACACGCGCGGCAGTTTGATAGGCGGTAACGGCCTCCGCGAATTCTCCCAAATCCTCGTGACACAACGCTTTAGCATGCCAGACAACCATCTGCAAATGTGGTTCGTCTGGGGCGGTTGATGGGCTCAAATTAGAGCCGAGACTCAGTGGGGCAATCATGAAACAACTTGGCAGGCACAAACCGACCGACCAGCAGAGCGAATGGCTTGTTCAATGTGATGCAGGGCTCGTCGGCTATCACGCAGCTCCTCGCGATACAACTTGCCAAGATTCAGGTGGCCATGAAAGTAGTGGGGATTTGCCTCGAGACCTCGCAGATAGGCTGATTGACAAGAAGGGCAGAGCTGAGCACAAGAGCAACCAGGAGCCAATGTGCGGTACGTTGTTTGAAATATACTGCAGTCTCACCTTGACGGGCTTCCTCGACGCGGCTCGCGCGCTGCAGTGCAAGCCCGTACGAGACGTGGGCCACAAAATTGTGTGGACATTGCTTTGAAAAGAATCATTTCCAGGTAAGCCGAGGAGAACATGACGAGTGAGGCTTGGGCGGAAAGGTGACAATAAGGGCCAGCACGGCAGAAAAAAAAAGTCACACACCGTGGTCGACGCTTGCCATAGCCGGAGCTCATTGCCCCAATCACCATCACGCTCGACGAGAATTGGAACGTACGCGCCCACAAGTAAAGCGGTTAAGAGAAGCAGAAGCGGGAACCGCCTGGAGGATCGCAGCCATTGGGTGCTCCAGCAGAGCATGGTGGCCAGGAGCATGCAGAACCCAATGGACGGGGTGTAGGTGACGCGCTCGGCGACGGTAAAGCCGACGTAGAAAAAGAGGTTACTGGCAGGCAGAAACGGCAACACAAGCCAGGCCAGGGCCAGGGCCCACAACCGTGCCCAAGGCGAGCTGGGCGTGCGATGCTACACAAAGCGCCAAGATGAGAGGAGGTGCGCAGGGCAAGGTTTGGGGGATGCGCATTGGACAGTCTCTCGTCCAGTACTAGGCTTGTAAGACATGAACAAACCTCGAGAAAGAGGGCAAGGAGGACAATGCCCGCCAGGAGGCTCACGAGGGCGGCAGCAAGGAAGGCCGATGCTGAGAACCAGGATTCAACGAGATGCAACTCACTGCGCCAGTCTGGGCAGAAGCGATCGGGCCAAACCAGGAGGCGCAAGTGAAAGGCATTCAGGTAGGTCAGGGACAACGTGTGCTGGCTGAAGGAGCGTGCGTCGAGTAGGATGTTGGTATTGCCATGCCAGTCAGGTGATGTGCCCTGGGCCTGGAGTCGAGCCCAGAGAAAGATGAGGCCCCCCGCGAGATAAATGGCGCACCGCTGGAGGGCGGGATCATTGGGCAGAGTCGGCTGCGAGGACAGGCGAGGGCGGTTCACGGGCCGGGAACGCTCCTTGGTGCTGGCAGTGGAAGGCCTCGCCATCCAGACGAGAGCACTAAACTTGTGAGCCCATTGCCAGGCGTGGTTGGACTGAAGCAGAAGTTCGTAAGCCACATAGATGGCGGTAGCCATGATTCCGGTTTCCTTGCACAGCGCTGCCAAGAGGGCGCAGAGCGTGGCCACGACGGCATGGCGCCTGTGTGCCGATTGACGTGGCTTGGCTGGAGCAGCTGATTTCTGCGTGGGTGGGGCTGACCAAGCCGTGACGGATAAATAGGCCAGGCCCATGAGCTGGCAGGTGAGAGCGAGCAGCTCGGCGCGATTGGTGATGTTGCTGACGGCCTCGGTGTGCATGGGATGAGTGGCAAAGAGGAGGGCTACCATCAGGGCCCAAGTGTGAGCTGCAACGGGCTCAAAGCCCAGGCGTTGGGCGAGCTGACAGGCAAGCCAGGCGAGTAGAAAGGTATTGAGAGCGTGCAGGGCCATGTTATGGGCGTGCATGAACCAGGGCTCGAGCCCAAAGAGAGCGACCTCAAGGGCAAACGAGGCCGAAGTCAGGGGCCGCCAGGATTTGTGACTGAGGGGATCAACCAGTGGCCGCCCCCAATAGTCGGCCAACCAAAACTCTTTCGAACCCATGGTTGCCAACCCTTGATTGACATGCGGGTTGTTGACGATACATGGTAGATCTGCAACGGTCGGGGGTGGAGAAGGAGGGGGTGGCGTTTGAGTAGGCAAGACATCCACTCGCACTCCCACGCATCAGCCAAAGACTATGACATACCATCATACACAAAGGGACCGGACAGGCTATCGCGAAAGAGGCCAGCCGCCACCGCCGCCACCACAAGCATCCAGCTCCACCCCCCCACCACCCCCATCATGAACACTCTCTGTGCGTACTGAGCCACAAAGAGCAAAAAAGCAAGCAGGCAAGCAAAGAGAACAACCATTCCAGCGCTCGAAAACAGTGAAATGTGCGATTTTGAGCGAAGAAAAAAAGGCGAGTGTGTGTGTGTGGCTCTCTCTCTCTCTCTCTCTCTCTCTCTCTCTCTCTCTCTCTCTCTCTCTCGAATTCTCAAAATCTCTCTCTAATCTCTCTCTCCCTGAATCTCTCTCCAAATCTCTATCTCCCAAACTCCTCTGAATATCTCTCTCTCTGAATCTCTCTCTCTGAATCTCTCTCTCACTCTCTCTCTCTCTCTCTTATTATTTTTCTCGAAAGAGAGAGAGCACCGAAGGGGAGGAGAACAGATGATGATGGGCAACGGTCGCGGCGGCAGTTGCGGTGGCGGTCGCGACATGCGGGGGAAGGGGCGGCCGTGGATGTCGACGGTTGGATTTGTGGTGATGGTGGTGGTGGGGTTGTTGTGTGTGGGTTTGGTTCCTGGGGCAGCAGGCTTTTACAGTAAAAAAGGCGATGTGATCGTGCTGGATTCGCCGGCGCTGTTGGATAGCCTCGAGGCCAGCAACTACCTTTGGTTTGTCGAACTGTATCGGGAGGGCTGCGGCTACTGTCAGCAGCTGACGCCCCACTGGACGGAGCTTGCAGGCAAGCTCAAGCGGGTAAGTGCTGCGCCGAGGGTGAGGCGTGAGGCGTGAGAGTCCCTCGTAGATCCAACTGTATTCCCCGCCCGTCGCGCTCACGTTTTGGTGGTGGCTCCGATCGGGCTGTCGACAGCTGGTGCGCGTGGCCGCCCTCGACGTTGAAAAGAATGGCCCGTTGTTACAGACCATGATGCAGCGGTATGACTTTGATGTCAAGGGCGTGCCCACCATCATCATGCTCAAGCCCTGGGGCAAGAAAGATGGCACCATGTCGAAAAAGCGTATCGATTACAACGGTGAGCGCACCGCTCAAGCCCTGTACAAGGCCGCCGTCAAGCACATGCCCGACTACACCACCTTTGTCACCGCAGCCAGCCTTGACCGCTTCACGGCCGGTGACCAGGCCAAGGCTGTGCTTTTCACGCCCAAGGCCCAAACGCCTGTCATGTGGAAGGGCTTGGCCAGCAAGTATCGTCACCGCCTCGAGCTGGGCGTGACGCTCGACGATGATGCAACCCAGCTGCGCGACCTGCTAGGCCTTGAGCGGTTTCCCACTGTTCGCATCTATACAAACGGCTCTCATGTCGATTTCACCGGCACCACCAACTTTCTCAACCTCGACCTCTTCCTGTCGCAGCACGCCGCTGCCAAGCCGAGTCGCCCCACCCCGCCCAATTCCAGCAGCGGCTCCTCACAGTCCACTGCCAAAGACCAGTCCGACCCTAAGAACCGATCAAAAACCGGGGCCAAGAAAAGTACAACCAAGAGCAAGTCCAAAGCAAGCGCGTCCCCCGCGCGCACCGACCTTCGCACTCTCTCGACAAAGAAGCTTAACAAGGTCCTTGCCACAAGATGGTCACCCTGGTCCCGCGCATTGTCCCCGATGATGCCCATGCCTTTTTTTTTTTTTTTTTTTTTTCACTTTCTGGCTTTCCGCCTCTCTTGGGCTCACACCCGTGGTAGATGAAAATTCGTGAGCTCAAGTTGATTCTCGACGAGTACAACGCACCCTGCCGAGGCTGCATCGAGAAACAGCATTACATTGACCGCGTTCTCGAGGTCGGGCTTGCCGGCACGCCTTTTCGTCCCGGAGATGTCATTTCTACCCGCCGCAGCCATGCTTGACCCGTGTTTTGCTCCACCCGCTCAGCTCAAAAAGCAGGGTCTGCTGCCCACGCAGCGACTGGCTTCGGAAGAAGACAAGGCCCAGGCCCAGAAGCCCCGCACTTGCACGGTCCGTGTCCCCGTCGCGCTGCAACCACGCTCCACCCCCCGGTTGTAGAGGTCGATCTTCAGCCGAACACTAATGTCTTGCCATGATGATTAAATCAGGCTAAGCTCAAAGTGGCGCAACAGGAACTCAAGACTCTGCGTGCCGAAAATGAGGCCTTGCGCAAGGAAGTGGAGCAGCTGAAGCAAACCGGCCACTGTCACTCGGAAGACACGCATGAAGACTTGTACCTAGCTGATGAGGAGGACGGATACATCGAGTTGATCGAGGATGAACCAGACAATGACGATGAGGATGATACAGAAGAGACTTCAATTCAGGATGACGACGATGGTGAGGAAGAACAAGATGAGGACATTGAATAGATTTGAAAGTAGTCATGAACCCAGAGGCATGGAAATGACCCAACGCTGGCGCGCCCCATTTTCGCTTCAAATCCCTGTTGGCGCGTGCCAGCTCCGACCCTACCAACTGCCGGCATTTGCAGTAATTTAATTTTTTTGGTTTTCTTCCCAGGTATCACTCTGCAGACCCACACGTGCTCAAACGGATTGAAACCATTGAGAGGCTGTCAAGCAGGGAGTGGGACGGTACAATCTGAATTCACATGTCAACCAATAACATTTGTCAATCAATCAATGGGGAAGAGAAATTAATCCACGCCCCCTGGGAGCGGAAAGAGGCCAAACAGGCTACAGCTCAAGGGTGACGCGACGCAAACCAAGAGTGCAATTAGCACTGGCGATTACTCAGTCCGATCGCAGGCCTAGAGCTGGTCCTTGTTTGGCAGCTCAAGCCTCCGCATTGACGGCAGGCTCACTGAGACGGCTAGCGCTTTGCTTCTCGTAGTAGTCGGGGTCCACCGAACTCCAAAAGTTCTTCTCGGCTGCTGCCACGGGGTCCTGCAAGGCGAGTATTCATGAGACAAGAGACGTGATCCCATCGCGGCCACTAAAGAGAGGTCGTCAACTCACCTCTTCATCGTCGTCGGGGACGGGTTGGGTTCCACCGGGGCGGGCCGAGCGAATGCGCTGCTGCAATGCCAGCTCGCGCACCCGCGAAGCCAACAACTTTTCGCGCGACGTTTCACGATCCAACAGCTGTGGCAACGCCAATTACAGTTCAAACGGAGACGATGCCAAGATGAGAAACATGTGTGTTATGGCACCACGACCAGAACAACCAGAAGCAATCAAATGTGACCCGCGGGAGACACGAGCATGATTTACAAAAACAAGCAGGATGGGGCGGGGGCCACGCTGGAACGTACGCCTGCCATGGCGGCCTTCTCGTTGTTGCCCTGCATGTTGACGAGACCATCGCTGAGCTCGAGCAGCGTAACGGCACCGTCGCTGCTGCCCACGGCAATGACGTTGGAGTTTTCGGCAGCGGCGATGGAGCGGACGGGGCTGTCGCTGACGGGCACGGTGAGAGCAGCCTCGGCTTGTTTGAAGAGGTAGTCGTACACGTCGATAGCACCGTCCGAGCGACCCACAAAGGAAACGGCGGGGCGGGTGTGTGACCACACGCCGCAGGTGAGGTAGCAAGGGTAATATTTGGACCACAGAACTGCCGACTCGCGGACGTCCTCGCACCAGACGCGAGCGGTCCAGTCACCCACGGACAAGAAGTACTTGGGAGAGAAGGGATTGCGACGAATGCTGTAGACAGGTCCGTGGTGGCCCTCAAAAGTGCTGGCCAGCTTCTCCGCTGGGGACTTGCCCTTGCGGTTGCCGTTGATGATGACACCTTGTTCAGTGCCGACCATGAAGCGGGTGGGCATGGTTGACTCAAAGTCAGCGACGATACCCCCCATCATCTGCTCATTGACGTCAAGCTGCAGCACCTCGGTCGGAGCATCCAGCTTGCGCGAGTCCCACCACATGACCTGACCGTCTGTGGAGGTGGAGAAGAACTCGGTGCCAGTTTTGGAGGACATGTAGCAGAGACCGTGCACGGGATCGCGATGGCTCGCCTCAATCGGGGTGGTGGCCATGGGCCGTGAGCCCTTGCGCACGTCCCAAAGCGCAATCTGACCGTTGTAGCAGCCGCCCAGGAGGACGTGAACGTCCTTGGGGTTGTACTGCAGGCTCACGAGTGGTGATGAAGGGGACAGCGTTTGCTCAGGCGCGTTGGGCTTGTCGAGGTTCCAAATGTATGAGTCGTAGGACATGCCCTCTGGTGCTTGCTGAAACTCGAGGACCGAGTAGGCCACGGCCAATCGTCCGCTACCATCTGGGTTCCACGACAAGCTGTTCTCGAGAGGAAAAGAGGAAACCGAATGTAAGACATCAGTCAGGAAGAGTGGCACAGAAGAAGAAGAAGAAGCATATGCAGAAGAAGAAGCACATGCACAGCATCGATGGGCGGGCTCAAGAGAACAAGGGAGAATACAGGAAGCAAAAGTGGTTGCGCCGGGACGCGGCAGCAAGAAAGAAGAGCGCACCTATTGGCAGAGCGGGCAATCTTTTGAGGGTCTCGCAAGACGTTGATGGTACGCGCCGACGGGGGCTCGAGCTCCGCAGCTACGCTGGGCTCGGGGAAGTAGTCTTCGTAAATGTCCAGGGCATTGTTCTGTTGGATCAAATGTTCCAACTGGCTGGCCGCATCGAGAACCTGGTGCTGATAACCTTCATCCTTTTCAATCTTCTTCCTGAAGCGATTCACCTGCTCCACCTGGCGCAGGGTGATTGAACGAGTCCAAAACACAAGAGGCGACGCATTCGATGTACGTGAGGGGTGGGCTGGGGTTGGCTGGGCATCGTGAGCAATGAGCAGCAAGCCAAGCCTAGTACCTCGGTGCAGTCAACATCGCGTGGCCAGCCACCCTCAACATGGTTCATGCCGTTCTCGGTAAACTCTGCCGTCTCAGTATTCACCTGAACACAAAGCGAGGCAGGAGAGGGATGTCAGGCCCCAAACGCACAACGCACAACGCACAACGGTCGTATGATGAAGACTGTTGTTAGCAGCGCCAGCTAGCCAAAGCACGGGGGGGCGACACGACGACCACACCTCATGTTCGGAGAATTCACGGGTGTTTTGCACGGCAATATCGGCAGGGTTGCGGTCAATGTAGTCCTTGGCCAGGCTGGGATTGGGCTCGATGTCGGCCAGAATTTCGGCCTTGCGATCGGTGAAAACACACTGCCGGCCGAAATCACGGCGCTTCTTCTGGTACACGTACACAATCTCCATTGTGCCTGATCGCCTAGCTGCCTGAAGTCCGCAAAATCAAGCCGAGTTGCCAAAAGCAAGCCAAGAGCTGGACTGCATCAGCGCGCACAGCCCGATGAGTGGTTGAACGGTGAGCCATCGACACCTTGTGTTCGCCCGTTCCCACGGTGCAGGCAGAGATGTGCTGACGTACCAAAGGCACTGCCACACGGACCACACAGCCCTCTATAACATCCAACAATCCAGCCAACAAATGCCAAGGCGAACAGCAGCCACCAGCCCGCCTCAAAGCAGCAGCAGCAGCAGCAGCGACCCCCGTTTGACGTCCAGCGGTCGTCGCTCGCTCTCTCTCTCTCTCTTGCTCTCTCTCTCTCTCTCGCTTCTCTCTCTCTCTCACTCTCTCAGCGTCGCTGGGTCGTCAGATCAGCGGTTGATAGGGAAATAAACTCCAACACGGTTGCTCCCCGTGTTGTTCATCCTCCCGGCTTGACAGCAAATTAATGTCAGACGTTTGTGTAATTGTCAGAACTTTTAAAATCATCATTTTGTTGACAAAAAAATAAAAAAAAGTCGACAAAAAAGAAAAAAAGAAAATCGCGCGAAATGGCGGCGCCGCCGCGATCACTGAGCGCCATCACGGCGTTGAAGCAGCGCTGTGAAGATCGGCTCAAGCATGATGAGGCCAAGGTCTGTATCTTCATCTACTCTGTAGCTCCATGTCCTTGGTGTTGCAGCTCGATAAGACTTGATACGCTGTTCTCAACGCTCGCTGTGGCTCGTAGGTCAAGTTCTTGCAGGACAGTGTGGACACGACCTCAAAGACCGTCGATAGCATGGTAGGATCGGCCCGGGCCAGCCAGAGGCTGAGGTTGCCTGCCAATTCA